ATCACGATAACAATAATATCACGATACCGATATTACAATAACGATTTTATCACAATATGACGATTATTGATATATTGGTCAGAAATATACAATATGCCAATTTATGGCATAAATAAAATAAAATAAAATCTTTATTTAATGATAAATAGAATGGAGATGCGTAATGTAGCCATATATTAAGTATTGATACCAATTTAAAAAAAAAAGTAAAAAAATAATAATAATAAATACACTTTTTTTTTTTTTATCGATATTGATACTTCGCAAATGCATATCGATAATCGAATCGCGGGAGAAAGTCTCGCGTCACACCCCTAATAAGGGTACAACGATAACTAAATGTATACCAGCACGAGGTGCATGCCACAACAACCAAAATATTGTTTCTCAAATGGTTCATCAATTACTATGTGTATTTAACCACAATTTCACTTTAATGCTACATTTCTTTTTCACAGCAAAGTACAGTGGTATTTACTCACAAAATAGAAAAATGTGTAATTTCCTTTATCATCTATTGGTTGTTCAAAATTACACACAATACAGAGAACACCATATTGCTGGATGTTTTCTTGCTTTAATGACAGATGGTCTGATTCATCTTATATTGATATGATTGTCATTTTCAGACTCTCAAGGAAAAACTGGAACGAGTTAAGTCGAAAGTCCAGCAAGCTGTGGCAGTGAGCATGACAGCTGACATGTGGACCTCCTGTAACATGGAGGCATGCATGGCACTTACATGTCACTACATCACTGAAAATATGCAGTTGTGTCCATCTGTGATGGGAGTGAGACACTTTCCATTAAGTCACACTGCTGACCATTTGGCCCAGTTCAAAAGGAGCATTCTGGATGACTGGGCTGTAACAAATAAGGTGAGGTGTCTTGTGACCGACGCAGCACCAAACATGATTGCAGCAGCCAGAACACTCCAAATTCGCCATTCAGTTTGCATTGCACATAAATTAAATTTATTTGTGAAGAAATCCTGTGATCAAATCCTTGAACTTTCAGCCATCAGACACAAATCTAGACAAATTGTAACATTTTTCAGATTCAGCACCACAGCCAAAGAAAAGCTTGCTCAAGTGCAACAGCAGATGGGACGGCCAGTCCTGAAACTTATTAACGAGGTACCAACACGCTGGAACAGCACTCATGCACTTATGCAGCACCTGCTAAAAAAGAGCAGCCTGGATGCTACGGTACTTAACAACTATCGTCCCATCTCAAATCTGCCATTTATGGGGAAAGTCCTTGAGAAAGTTGTCTACCTACAGCTTACTAGATTTCTTATAATCAACAACTCATTTGATATGTTTCAGTCCGGCTTTAGACCCCACCACAGCACTGAGACTGCTCTCGTTAAGGTTACAAACGATATCCGGCTAAACACTGACGCAGGCAAAGTCTCAATCTTAATCTTGTTAGATCTGAGTGCTGCCTTTGACACTGTCGACCATGAGATCCTCTTACAGAGACTAGAGGACTGGGTTGGCGTCGCTGGCACCGCCCTAAGTTGGTTTAGGTCTTACCTTGAAGACAGGAAGTACTTTGTGGAGATTGGAAACTGTGTCTCAGATCATATGGCCCTGACCTGTGGAGTACCACAGGGGTCGATCCTGGGACCTCTTCTGTTCAATCTCTACATGCTGCCGTTAGGTCAGTTAATACGCAGAAACAAAGTGTCCTATCACAACTATGCAGACGACACTCAGATCTATGTCTCACTGACTGCAGGAGAACATGGACCAGTGGACTCACTCCTTCACTGTATCCAACAGACCAGTGAGTGGATGCAAAACAACTTCCTTCAGCTAAACGCAGACAAAACTGAAATGATTGTCTTTGGTCCCCAGAAACAAAGAGAGAGTGTCATCTGTCACCTCCAGTCTCTCTCCCTAAAACCTTCAAACAGGGTCAGAAATCTAGGGGTAATACTGGACTCAGACTTAGATTTTAATAGCCACATCAAATCAGTAACATCAGCAGCTTTTTACCATCTAAAAAACATTGCCAGGATCAAAAACATAGTGTCTAAAGCAGACTTGGAGATTCTTATCCATGCATTTGTCTCCAGTAGGTTAGACTACTGCAATGGCCTGCTCACAGGTCTGTCCAAACAGGCTGTAAAACAGCTGCAGTACATTCAAAATGCAGCAGCTCGAGTCCTGACTAGAACCAGGAAGTACGACCATATTAGTCCAGTCCTCAGGTCTCTGCACTGGCTTCCTGTGGCTCAGAGAATAGACTTTAAAACAGCTCTGCTTGTTACAAGTCTCTCCATGGCCTCGCACCAAAATATATTAGTGACATGTTTGTCCCATATGAACCAGCCCGGACTCTGAGGATCACAGGGACTGGACTCCTGTTAGTGCCCAGAGTCAGAACTAAATATGGGGAGGCTGCTTTTTGGATTCATGCTGCTAAAATCTGGAACAGTCTTCCTGAAGATGTGAGACAGGCCTCCTCTCTGACAATGTTTAAAACCAGGTTAAAGACAGTTCTGTTCAGCTGTGCTACAACTGAGGGATTTTATATTTTTATCTTTCTTTTTAATGTTTTGTGATTATTTATGATTTTAATGCTTTCTTGTTCAGCACTTTGAGTTGCCTTGTGTATGAATTGTGCTATACAAATAAACTTGCCTTGCCTTGCCTTATCAGATGCTGTCACGGCTACATGATGAGAAAGAACCAGTGTGGGTGTCTCTGGCCTCTCTTCAGACAGACTTGACTCCACTCACGGCTGATGAGTACAAAATCTTAAAGGAGACACTTCTTGTGCTAGCTCCTTTCCATCAGGCCACAGTGGAGTTGTCTGAGGAGAAGAGAGTTTCAGGATCAAAGGTCATCCCGATGATGAAAATGCTGTACTGTGCACTTGAGCGTCATTCAACACATTTACACACACAAACAGCCATAAATCTCCATCAGCATCTTAAGCGTCGTGTCACAGAAGCGTCATCTCAACTGGAGACATTAAGTGTATTGACCCTCTCCACACTGCTGGACCCAAGATTTAAATCACTCGGGTTTCGCAGTTCCTCCAAGTGCAATGAGGCAATTATGCGGCTGAAAAATGAGTGTGCTGCAGTAATTGGTCGCAGTACATCTGCGCAACAGCCTGGACCCTCATCAGAGTCACCACTTCAGGCAGTGTTTTCATCTCATTTGTGCTCTGATCTTGTTGTTATTATGTACCAGATGATAAAGACTGACATTCCATTGTGTTTATTTAATTTCAGACAACTTGTGGCAGGATCTGGATGTGGCGGTTGGGAGACAGACTACAAATGCAACAGCTGACTCCATCATTGAGGTCCAGCGCTACTTGGGGGAGGGAAACATTAAGCGATCAGAGGATCCATTGACCTATTGGGGGAACCAGAGAAACACGTATCCCAACCTTTTTCAGTTATCATTACAGTTGTTATGTACCCCGGCTTCATCTGTGCATGTGAGCGTGTATTTTCTAAAGCTGGGGAAATAGTGTCAAAAAAAAGAAAAAGGCTTCATGGCAAGACTTTGGACATGCTTATTTTTTTGAATAAAAATATATAAAACACTCAGTGACATTTTTCTTGAAAAATTCTTTCACAACTATCACTTTAATTTTCACATAAAATGTCAAATAACCATTTGACATTTGCAGTAACGTAATATTGTCCACATACAATATGTAAAGGTCATTGAATCAGTGAGTTGGATGCAATGATTTATAAGATCCACCAGGCGTCAGTATAGAGCAGCACAAGCAACACTGTTGCGGCACAGTATCAATACAGTTTGTTGGATGTGCCGAAACGATACGTGAGGTTTCATTTACCCATCACTAAAGGTGAGTAATCCAAAAACCCAGGTACGTAAGGAACACACCGCGTGGCACTACCGATATGACGGAGTTATCTGGCAGAGGAGTGACGAGCAGACCAGGGTTATACACTGAGAAGAGTGGAGTGAGTGGAGGCAGGTGTGTCTCGTCAGCAGCCCAGCAGAGACCGCCCACGCCCCCCAGCAAAGACCACCCACGCCCCCCAGCAGAGACCGCCCACGCCCCCCAGCAGAGACCACCCATGCCCCCTGTCTCACACATGCTCTGGAGAGAGGGAGCAAAACAGAATCATGACACTGCTGTAGCTCTCCACTGTAGCTCTCTGCTGTAGATATGGTGCTGTAGCTTTCTGCTGTAGATATGGCGCTGTAGCTCTCTGCTATATCTCTCCACTGTAGCTTTCTGCTATAGCTCTCTGCTGTAGCTCTCTGCTGCTGCTCTCTGCTGTAGATATGGCGCTGTAGCTCTCCGCTGTAGCTCTCTGCTGTAGCTCTCTGTTGTTGTTCTCCACTGTAGCTCTCTGCTGTAGCCCTCTGCTGTAGCTCTCTTCTCTGCTGTTGCTCTCTGCTGTAGCTCTCTGCTGTAGCTATGGCGCTGTAGCTCTCTGATGTAGCTCTCTGTTGTTGTTCTCCGCTGTAGCTCTCTGCTGTAGCTCTCCTCTCTGCTGTTGCTCTCCACTGTAGCTCTCTGCTGTAGATATGGCGCTATAGCTCTCTGCTGTAGCTCTCTGCTGTAGCTCTCTGCTGTTGCTCTCTGCTGTTGCTCTCTGCTGTAGCTCTCTGCTGTAGCTCTCCTCTCTGCTGTTGCTCTCCACTGTAGCTCTCTGCTGTAGATATGGCGCTGTAGCTCTCTGCTGTAGCTCTCTGCTGTAGATATTCTCTCAGCAAGAAGGTCCTGGGTTCGAATCCCGGTCGGACCAGGGCCTTTCTGAGTGGAGTTTGCATGCTCCCCCCCTGTCTGCGTAGGTTTCCTCCGGGTGCTCCGGTTTCCCCTACCACTAAAAACATGTACAACAGGTCTGGCATGTGCCTCCTGTACTGGCCCCGCTCCCATCTCTGTGTGGAGTGAGAGACAAGTGCCCAAAAATAATAACAAATGTAAACCGCTTTGTGACTCTGGTCTGTGAAAGGCGCTATATAAATAAACATGACTTACTTACTTACTCTCTGCTGTAGATATGGTGCTGTTGTTCTCCGCTGTAGCTCTCTGCTGTAGCTCACTGCTGTAGATATGGCGCTGTAGCTCTCTGCTGTAGCTCTCCGCTGTAGCTCTCTTCTGTAGCTCTCCGTTGGTCCACTGTGGATCTGGGCTCAGTTGTTTGTGGTGGTGGATGGTCATTGAAACAGACAGAAGAGGTTTCCTCGAATACGAAACAAAAAAAAACACAAGTGTGTTAATAAAATTCAAAACCCCAAGTTCAGCAAAACCTAAAACCCAAACCCAATCAAATGATAAACAAACTTTTGTAAACTCACTGTTTTGTCCTTCCCTCTTTTGAAAGAGTAAAAACAATGTAAATGTCTGACATGAGCTTTTGAAGTCACCCTAATGTCCTCGTTATTGAAGACATGGTCAGTGTTGAGTTTGTGTCAAATGACACTTGTACCCTATATCTTTTCTTACACGTTTACAGTAATGGAACACATTACTATTGATTCAACTATTACATGTATCACCAGTTACAGCCACATTTCAAACAAACGTTCAAACTATTGTTTGTCTGCGATCAAACATCATTCTGTTGTAACTAGTAAAACATTACACTAAGAAACCATCACCACCAATTATTATCAAAACAAAAACAAAACTATATATTAAAAACCATTCTCCACATGAAGCTCAGAACTAATCATTTGGCTTTGCGTCAGAGTGTTGGGACTTATCTCCTGTATCCTGTCCCGTGGCAGTCAGAGGGTTTATGACAACTCCTGTTCCCAACCACAGTGTCCAGACCCGCGACGGTCTGGGCATTCTCACGACCAGTGATCGAGGGCACCACAGTCCAAGCACCCATGTATTTGGCTGCCATTGCCTCGCCCTCCCTTTTGGCCTCTTTTTGTCTTCTGGGTGCAAACTGCTCTCAGGTCTGCATCTCTGGTGTGAAGGAGGTGAGGTGGAAGATGGGACATTGGCAGTGCCGCAGGCTGCTGGAGCTGTGGTGGGGAACGATCTACAGAGGTCTCCCAGAGATCTTTCCCACTGGTTGAGACGGGCACTAGGCACTCGGAAACAGCAGAAAAGATTAGAGTTGATAATGCTGACGCCTCCTGTTCCCTGTCTTCTCTGTTTTGTTTAGTCATCATACATGCACTCAGAAAAGTCACTATCTGTTTTGACTTTAGTTTCTGTTTGTTCAAAATGTCTTTTAGTTCCCTCAACTCTTCTACGTTAAGTGAAGCCATGTGTTCCTCATAACAATCATGCATAAGACCAATCCACTGTGACCTGGTCTTACTATTATCATGATCCATGGCTACCTTTTTTCTTTTTTTCTATCAGGCCCTGTTCTTGGTCCGAAGTTGTTTTATGTATTTAAATGAACTTGTTACGTTCAGCTCAAACACACACATGCCCACTTTCCAAAAACACTGGATCATTACTCTCAGATTTCAAATACTTTGGCTTCAAATGACTCAATAAGACTTTGAAGTAGTTTACCGTTCACAGTAGGTTCTTTTCTTAAAAGGATTCCGAGGTGACAGTTGCAAACCCCAGGAGGTTTCCTGGAAGGGCCTGCAGCTTCAGCCCACAGTGATCAGCAATCCATAAAACTCTCCTGGGCTGTACAACGGCCCATCCTGGAATCCCACTTCTGACACCAAAACTGTTGTGGAAATGTCCTTAATGATCCGTGGAAACAGAGTTGCATTTTGTGTGGTTTCATGAAAGTAAAAAGTACATGATAAGAACAAGCATTTGCAAATGGAGAAAGCTTCTGCAGTCGCTCCTCGGACCCTGCATCAGTCTCTGACACACAATGGGATTCACACAAGCTTTATCAGGATGGTCTGGTCCCTCATTGGCCAATGGCCACAAGAAAAACACATGTCACACCGCTGCACTGATACATGAAAATAGGTATCTCAAGGTATGAAGAGCAGAGGAACAAGGGGGGGTTAAGGGGGTCGAGAGGACAGAGGCAGAGGACACAGGAACAGGACACTGTCCCAATCCAAGATCACATCATCCACACGATAAGGAAAACAGTCACATCAAAGGAGACGGTCAATCACTGTCTAAAAACTAAACTCACAAACTGAAACATCGTCCCAAATACCTTCTGCCATAAAACAAAGCCTCTGAACCATTTGGAAATCCTCACAATCCACCCACTATGTTCCATGTAAACCATGTTCATGTCATGTTCATGTCCCCCCAAATAGTGAGGGGGGAGGCGTCCCCCTCTGTCATTGCACCAGTTTTCTTTGAGCCTAAATTCAGAAGAAATCCTTTTCCAAATGTAGTTTGCAGTGTGGGCCTTTGTGTCCAGTACCTGAGTGCAGCAGCAGAGGGCGCTGTTCGCTTTTTCTCCACAGCAGCAGACTGTTGTGATTCCTCCCTGCTGCTCCGCTCTCCCCCCTCCTGTTGGGTTCCTCATCACACTCACCTGCAGAGCTCCACCTGATCATCATTCCAACAATCACCAGACTCAGCATAAAAACCAACCTGACCTTGTCTCCAGTGCCAGATCGTTCCGTCACACCAGTGGTGACTCAACCTTCGGCTTGTCCTGTACTAGTATTTAAGTTTATTTTGTACTGATATGCCTTTTTTCCTTCATTTTTTCAATACCCAGCTGTGGAGCCTGTACCTTCATTCTCAGTCCCGTCCTGGTCCCATCATTGGTCAGTCTTACCTCCTCGCTGTCGTCCTCTGTCTTGGTCCCGTCTTGGTCCTGCCCTCGTCCTGCCCTGGTCTTGCTCTGGTCCCGTCCAGTGTCCTTTAAACCCGGCTCTTCCTAATTTTGATTTTTGTTAATAAATCTTGTCAACTCTGCATTTTGGATCCACCCGTTCTTACATTAACACAGACCTGTGTACACATGTGGCCACAGGACTCCTCACAACCACTTTACAATATTCACAAACACGTGCAGCTGTGTGAAAGGGAGGCGTGTTGTTTGGACCCGTGTCGCCTTTTCACCACAGGGAAAACGGGAACCAAAAAATTTGTCATGTGACATTTAACAAATGTTTTACTGACTCCAGCTCAGATCTGAGGAGAGACACATACAGTCCAGGTCCCGGTTTATATCAGGAGCCCATTTTGGTGGAGAGAACCCGTAGCAAAACATGGATCATAGCTCAGACCTGAAAGTCTTCCCAACCACAGAGAACACTGATGCTCTAGAATCAATCGATGCCGACCAAGATACTTTTCCAGTTTCTCAACCAACCAAAAAGCGGACTTTTGTCTTGGTTTAACCCTTTACCGCTCGCAGCACGGCAGAGTACAGCTGAAGCACTTGGCTTGAAAGTGAAGTCTATTTTGGCAGGAACTTACAGCAGCAAAGCGACTTCACAAGACCCGTGGTGATGGAACCTGCTCTTTCCGTGCTTTGAGTCCCCACATTTTCAACAGGACCTACTCCGCGGATTATTCAATATTTGTTTGGTAACTGCGGAATATGTTTTGTGTCACATTTAACAGTGTGTTCTACGTCATGGTGCTACGTCCCTTAGGACTTCGCTAGTGGGATATCACTCGTGACCCCCAGGTCACACGCCAGAGAGATCAAAATAATTTGCTCCAATCACCAGCCACCCTTCTCTATAAATGCCCCTGCACAAGGCCGCACCCCCTCTTTCACTCTGGCGCCGTTTGAGATCTACCACAGTACTTACTTCATTCTGAGATGTCTTCCTTTTTCGTCCGAGTTCCCTTCGCCCTCCGGCGTCGGACGTCGTCGCTGGATCCAGACGGTGGAGGACTTCACCTCTGTGGGTGCCACCACTCGAGGAAGGAGGAGGATGCAACCCACGTTGTGCCCGCGGATGGACCCGTTCGTCCATTACGCGACACGTGAGTGGCCTAAGCCCCTAGCAGCCAAGAGGCCTGCTCTGGGGTACGGCATGTACTGCAGCGGGCAGGACTGGTCCTGGACCGGTGGTGTCCCGGACATCGAGGATTCAGTCCGCATGGCCCTGCAGCCCTCCGCATCCGTGTGGCCCGGCACCAGACCTCTCCTTCCCTCCGAGCGGGACAGGATGTCTTGCCGATGCTGGATAGATATTATGCCAATGCGGCACAGGTCGTCACATTGACTAACAACATGACTTTCATCACGGGGGCCCTGGATAGGTCGCTCTCCTCTGGCCAGGCGCTCAGTGGAGACCTCCTGTCACAGGCGAGGACCACCTCGGCGGCGATCCTGCGCATGTGCCAGACGCTACCCGTGGATGGTGGCCCGGACACCGAGGATTCAGTCCGCATGGCCCTGCAGCCCTCCGCATCCGTGTGGCCCGGCACCAGACCTCTCCTTCCCTCCGAGCGGGACAGGATGTCTTGGCGATGCTGGATAGATGTTATGCCAATGCAGCACAGGTCGTCACATTGACTAACAACATGGCATTCATCACGGGGGCCCTGGATATGTCGCTCTCTTCTGGCCAGGCGCTCAGTGGAGACCTCCTGTCACAGGCGAGGACCACCTCGGCGGCGACTCTGCGCATGTGCCAGACGCTAGCTGTGGATGGTGGCCGCTCCATGGCAGCAGCCCAAGTCGGGGCCAGGCACCTTTGGCTTGGGCTGGCTAATATCAGGGAGGCGGAGAGGAGGCAGCTGCTGGACCTGCCTATCTCCCAGACGTCCCTTTTCGGTCCGGACATGCAGACCCTGGTGGCTAGACTGGAGACCGCAGCCAAGGACTTGGCTAGCCTAGCCCAGCACCTAGCGCCGAGGCGCGAGGCCCGCCCACCAGCGCGGAACCGAGACAGAGGCAGGGAGCGTTCGCCCGGGAGGCGCCCTGGCCCATATCCACGCTCCATGACCTATGGTCCCCCCTCGACGAGGCCCCCGGGTCCAGACAGACACACGGGAGGCTCGCGGGACCAACGCACCCACCGCCAACCTCCCTATGGCAGAGGAGGTCGGGGTGGGAAGAATTCTTTCAATAAAAGCCGACCGGCATTTCATCAGTACTCGCTGTCTGAGTCTCATTTGGGGGTATGTAACATGTCAAATGATCTGAATTCTGATTGTGTTACTTATCGAGCACATAACGTGGCTTCGCTAGGCCTGCGGCCCCCAGAGAAGGGTGTGCAGGGCGCTACGCGAGCTGCGAGCTCCGATTCACTGGTTCATGCTATGCCCTCCCAGAGAGAGGTCAGGCGGAGGGA